ATTGTAGCGATCCAACCTGTGAGCATTTGCATTCCGTTAAGCTGTTTGAAGTCTTGAGTTAGTTTCATATGATGTATTATAACTTATGCGAATCATCGGTTTTTGTTTTCAGGTGATTCAGGATTGATTTAGAAGAATGAATCTCATGTTAGAAGCTTTAAGTTAGAAGAGTTGACCAAGTTTTACATTTGTGTAGTGGACCCCGGATTGGAGTTTAGATCCGGATGGTGATTTTGGACTTGGGCGTATGCCCGGATTTGCATTTGGATATTTCTATAAGGTTTCGGCATAACTTGGCGAAAGTTAGAAATTTGAAGGTTTGGGATGTTCATAAGTTTGACTGGGAGTTGACTTTGATGATATCAGTTCGAGTTGTGGTTACGGAAACTAAAATAGGTTCGTTATGTCATATAGAACTTGACTTCTAAATTTGAGGTATTTCCGAGTTGATTTGATATTGTTCGGCACGAGTTTTGGAAGTCGAAAGTTAAAAAGTTCATTAAGTTTTATTTGAGGTGCGATTCATGGTTTTGATATTGTCATGTGTAATTTGAGGCCTCGAGTAGGTCCATTTTATATTTTGGGACTTGTACGTATGTTTGGTCGGGTCCTGGGTGACCAGAGCACATTTCAGCGTATTATGTGAAAAATTAAAAAATTTGACTTTAAACTTGAAAAAAAATCTTGAGTTTTGATGATAAATTCTTGTAGTTTGATGTTAGTTCGGTGATTTAAGCGAGCGATCAAGTTCTTAGGATGTTATTAAAATTGTGTGCACGTTTGGTTTAGAGCCCAGGAGGGCTCGGGTGAGTTTTGGACGCGTTTCGGTCGAGTTTAGATAATGGAAGGACTGCTTGTGCATTGATCATTTTTGGTGTCTGTTGTAGATCTCGCATTTGCGAGCCTGGACGGGGATTGGGTAGCCTGCATCTGCGAGGAAACAGTTCGCATTTGCGAACAGTCCAGGATCGTTTTTGCGAGCATTTAGTAGCATTTGCTATGTCTGGCAAAATAGAACAACTTCGCAATTGTGAAGATTTTGACTGCAGTTGCGAAGGTATGATTCTCGCATTTGCGATCAATTTGTCGCATTTGTGACACATGGGCTTCTGATGTATAGTTCGCATTTGCGACCTGCGCTTCGCATTTGCGATGTTGCAATTGCGAACAAGACATTACAATTGCGACATCCACAGTTGGGTTAAAAGAAGAGAAATCGGGACTTAGCTTATTTTACACTATTTCACAACCCTAAACACTCTAGTAGTAATTTTTCAAGAGTATTTTCTTTCCAAAATTATTGGTAGTCAACTTTAATCCATTTTCTTTTCAATTACCCATTAATTTTCATGTGTTTTCAACATCAAATCTAGGATTATTATGGTAGAAATTAGGGATTTGGGTTGAAATTGAGGATTTTATAAAATTGAGATTTAGACCTCAAATTGAGGTCGGATTTCGAAATAAATCACATATCCGGGCTCGGGAGTGAACGGGTAATTAAATTTTGTCCGAGTCTCGGGCTTGGACCCAGCAAGCCCAGGGTTGACTTTTGAGATTTTGGCCAAGATTGAACCTTTATTGATTGTGGATGTTTACTTTAGCATTATTTGACTTCGTTAGATGACAATTGACTAGGTTTTGATCGTATTGAGGATTATTTCTATGTAAGACGGTATTAGATTGTGAAAATTATCCCGAAATGAGGTAAGTGTCTTGCCTAACTTTGTTGGGAGAATTTTTTCTACTAATTGATATTGTTTGCTTCATGCGGATGTAATGCATATATGAGGTGACGAGCGTATATGCATGTGCTAGGGTTAATCATGCTTGGGGTAGATTATACGATTATTTGTGCCTTGTAGGATTATGTGAACTTCTTGCTTCGTGTTTTACTTGACTTCTAGATTAATATGAATATGAAATCAAATGCTAGAACTATGGTTTACCTTATTATTACTTGATTAAATGTTGACGTACTTTTGTGCAATTATTGATGTGCTAAATTTGATCGTCGTTATACATAATCACAAACACAACGCTACGATCGTTTTCTTGATATATTCGATTCTATACTTGGGTCGAAGATCAGGTTTTTTGAGATTGGTTGAGATACTTGAACAATGAGGTTCTTGAAGTTTGTTGAATTATTATTGGCGTGAACACCGTGGTTTATGATCATTTGGAATATTCGCTTACTCACTCTCCTTGATGTTATTCATGCTTCCTACCTTCCTTGTTATTGATATACATGTGCTTAATGAGGAAGAGTGTAAAGCATGAAGCGTGATGCCGTGCCATTTCATATACATTACCAAGAGAGGAAGAGTGTAAAGCACGAATGGTGATGCTGTGCCATGCGAGTTAAGCACGAAGGGTAATGTTGTGCCATTTCATTTATATTATCATGTGGGGATGAGAGTAAAATACAAAGGGTAATGTCGTGACATCGTCTTTATATTATTATGTGTTCATGACATGAAGGGTATTTTCGTGCAGGCGAGGACGAGAGACATGCATTATATTGTGATATCTTTTCCTTGTGTATACATTCATGCCTTTATCTTGAGATGTTACTGTTGCACCTATGCTTTCTATGTGACTTGTTGTTGTTGTTGTTCTGTCTTTGTCCCCTACTTCAATTGTTGATATATTATCTATGCCTTCTATCTGTTTAACTTGCAAATATCAGGCTTTCATTCTTGTTTGACGTATCTACATTTATGTCGTTTCTCATTTGTTACACTTTCGTATAAGTCTTCTACCATGTTAGTTATTCATGTCTTCTATTTGTATTAGCTTATAAAGATCATGCTTTCCCTCTTGTTAGTTATATCAACATCAAAGCCTTTTACCATGTCAGTGAAATTTATTTCCTCTATCTTAATTGTTGTCATTACTTCTGTGCCTTCTACCTAGTCTGTTATCGTTGTCTATATGTATTGCCTTGTTTGTTATTACTAGCTGTGTATCTCTTACTTTGTTGTTACTATTATTGGCATGTTTTTTACCTAGTTGGCACTGTTATACGTATGCTCGGTGAGAATGAGATAAATGCACGAAGGGTGTTGCCATGCCATTTAATTTGATATCTTGAGTTCATTTCTCTCACTATGAAAGCTGGATTTACTACTGTGGTTTGATGGTTATCGATTTAAGAAAATGATAGTTGGTGATGTTGAGAAATATTAAACGCAATTTCTTCTAGCAATCATTTATTGCTTCACATATTTAATCTTGTACTCTCTTCTGTTATGTTCTAGTATTGTTTCTATTATAATTTCACTGCACAGGTTATATCAGTCAATATTTAATTAAAAAGCCTCGTCATTACTTCACCAAGGTTAGTCAAGATACTTACTGGGTACATGAGTTTGGTTGTACTCATACTATACTTCTGCACATTGCGTGTAGATCTTGATGCTGATGTTGATGTGTATGGTGGGAGCTGGCATTGAAGAGGTACTTGCGTTCCGGTTACAGCCGTCTCTTGCTTGGCAGCTTTAGATTTGTAAATGTGTTTATGTATGTTCTAAATAGATGATGTAATTAGTTCGTACTAGCTTTGTAAACCCTAAGTCTTAGAAGCTAATGATTTGTACTATCCGTCCTTGGGTTGTTGTATAAAACTTCAATTATTTCATCATTTATTTCTTATTAATCTTAGTTGGATTGTGTTATTGTTAATTGGCTTACCTAGCGGGTTGGGTTATGTGCCATCACGACTAGTTGGATTTTGGATCGTGACAATAATGCATATACGTGTCTTGCTAAAGAGTCAAATGTCAACTGTCCAACTTTGAAACAATCGATGCGCATTTCATTCTAAATGCATGTGCTCATGTAGATTTACAGGTGAATCCCCTCTTAGATCTTTGCCCAATTGGATGAATCTCATCTTCGTGCTGCTCGTATGGACCAAAGGAGTTGAATCTCTTTGTTTCCCAAGTTAGAGACTGCAACATTTCCTGCTAGTTTTGTGTCACATTGACTGAAAAACAAAAGGAGTATTTCAGAAAAGAAAAATAACGAAATCAAGAAAAAGAAAAGTTCCTTATTCAATTTACTTGTCTATTTATTTCTAGCTTTGAATTTTGAAAAAAAAAAAAGTTGCCTTAGAAATAAGGAGTCACTTTCTAAAGAATATTATTATGTGTACTCCTCCCAATGATACATAATAGTAAACGATAAATTACACTCATCTTGTAGTTAGTAAAGGTAAGAAACTAAATCTGGGATTATAACAGAAAGAAAGAAAGAAGAAATGAATTAAGTTGTAGGCTGTTATTTATTCCTCCCTTCTCCCTATATATATTTTATTTGAATAAGTGAAGTGGTAGATTCGTAGTAATGATTGCTATTCCAAACGCAATAACCGTGGCCATGACACACTTTACCTTTTCCAACTTCCTTCTTTGTACTTTTTGCAAAGGTTAAACAGTACATTTATACAAATAGGTATTTATTTATTTAGATGTGGTAGAAGGCCCAGAATCTAACAATTTATTATATAGATATATATCAAATATTTTATTGGTCAATGAAGCGTGGGAGGAGAAAAATGACTTTTTACGTTCAAATTCTATGGAGGGTAAAAAATGTATCTCATTTTTTCTCATCTGTCTAAATTTTGGCAAGCAGAATTATCTAAATACTCGACACTTGTAATGATGGGAGATAGCAGATACTAGCTAGAACAGTGAAGACACGCACAAGTTAATTAGAACAATACAATCCAGAGGCGGATGTAGTATGGTAGTTAAGGGTTCAATTGAACCCATAACTTTTGATACAGAGTAAAAATTTATGTGTAAAAATTCATTAATATTGCAAAATAATAGATTTGGACCCATAACTTTTAAAATATAACGGATTCAATGTTAAAAATCATAAAATTTGAACCCTTAGAGTTTAATCTGGATCCGCCTCTGACACACATATATATATATATATATATATATATATATATATATTTCACTCTCCCTTTACTTTAATAACCATCCACCTTCATTATTACACATTGGCAGTTAGTGGCTACTGAGGCTCTATAAAAAGTAGGCACATCAGTGTCTGTTCCCATGCACACTTTAGCCCTCTGCTAAGTCTTTCAAATTCAAAAAACAAAAGCACCCATAACTCCATTAATTGTATCCTATAAACTGCTGGTTTTTGTTTGAAATCAAAAGAATGGTATCCAGAGTGGAAGAAGCAATGAAGATAAGGCAACAGCAGCAAGAGGTCAAAAATCACCAAGTCCAGAAGCAGATGCAATGCAACAAAGGAAAAACAATTAAGTTCAAGCGGAGCAGTTCCAATGTTGAAGAAGATGGTGCTTCTTCTGCTATTCTCTTGCTTGCTTGTATTGCCTGTGCCTCCTCCCACCTATAGAATATAGATCAACTTGTTATTATCCAGATGATAAGTATATGCATGCATTAATATTAGTGTTATTGTTATTATTATTATTATTAGGTTTCTCCAGCTGCTCCTTGTATGTTCCAATTATTAGTCATATATGGAATAGTATAAGTACCTTTCTGGACAAATTATAGCTAGCTCTTTGGGTAAAATTTAGTCCAACGTATACAACATTCCTGTAAGTCTCGTGGTTCAATTTTCTCTTTTCTTCCTTTGAACAAATCCAAGATTTAATTAAATCAATAGATTCAAAACGAGTGTGATCTTATTATATATATATATATATATATATAATTTGAGTCGAAAACACAGTAGGTTGAGATGAACTCATTGTATCATCCTACGGTAGCCTCTGTCTATGCTTTCAAATCTTTGATTGTTTCAGTAAGACTGGAACAAATGAGTGCCAAACAGGAGAAATTAGCAAAGATCGACAAATAGAGGAATGATTAGTGACTCTCTTGAAGGGAGAGTTCTGTTTCTGAAGAACTTTTCCTCTGGGATTGTCACACATGCTTTATGTTAATCTCTTTCCTCAAAATATTCAATGAAATTTTCCTTTCCTGATTACATATTGTCTACTGGCAAAAGCAAGAAAAACAGGGAACAAAAACGTGAGGGGGAAAAAAAAAACTAGAAGTATCCATTTCCAGTATCATTTTTCTTTATTAACCAATTTATCAAAATTTCAATCTGATAACAAACGCATATAAATTTTAGAAAAAAATTGTGATCTGACGGTGTGAAAACCATTTTATAGATAATATATGAATCCCCTAGTGTAATTACTAATTACAAGTAAATTTTAAAGATGAACACTAATTAGTAATTTCGTAAAAATGATGTTATACTACTTATAATCTACGATCGATCACAAATGAAACTACCCATCTCCACTCATTTTTTCTTTCAAAGGATTGGCATTTAGGTAAGATATGATCTATCTTTTTCCTTGGCTAACCGTTTCACTAACAATATAAAAATAATTGAAATCATGTGGAAATAGCAAATAATACGACAAAATAATATAAGTAGCAGAAAGCAAGGGGCGGGACAATCTGTTTAACAACCTGCGCATCGGATCATGCATATGGCAGAATCTGTTACTCACATCGACCGCATATGGCATTGGGACTATCCATTTTAGCAAGTCCAATAATTAGGTGCATGCACTAGCTATGTCGTCATTATTTTGGGAACAAGTTGATATTGCTTGCTTTACATCCACAAATACGAACTTTAATTTTTGTTGTTTCTTGTCCGATTTTGTATTGGGGTTAAACTAAATTCGAATTCGCGCCAACAAACATAATTTCATATGCAGGGTTCGAATCCAAGATCTCTAGTTAAAAATAGACAAATATTTACCACTCCATTACAATCCTTATTCAGAAGCGTATCCAAGATTTTAAGAACATGGATGCACAATGATCTTTAAGATAAATGTTTGATTCGATTATATAAAATTTTACGGTGATAACAAGTCGACGAGCGCGCTACAATTGTCTTCAACGAGTTTTTGTACTTTGAAAACGTCAATAATGACCTTACAGTTTTAAATATTTTCCTGTCACGAACCAATTCCCACCATAGGCCATGATGGCGCATAATGTTGCCGTTAGGCAAGCCAACGGTAAACCACCAACACAATCATTCGTTCATAACACTTTTAGAATCAAGAATTTCATTATTAAAGTAGAATTAAGTTTAGAAAACCATCGTAAAATACTTTCATTACTAATAAGTGCGAAAAAACATAAGCGTAATGATATAAATATTAGGTATAACCATGAGCATCTACTAAAAATCCCTAAAATACGATGTCACAAGTGCATGAGCATCTAGTCGAATATACAAAACCAGTATAACTACTGTCTGGAATGAAATAGACAGAAATAAATAAATGTAGTGTGGGAAGGAGACTCCGTGTGCTGGGGGTCGAAGCATGGAAATCAACTCGCTACTAAGTCTCCAGCAAATGCGGCTACATGCCTGAGTGACCACGTGAAGTACTTGTCTCAGTACCTGCACAGTGCAGAAGTGTAGTATGAATATGTAAATCAACGCATTCCCAGTAAGTATCTAGTCTAACCTCGAAGAGATAGTGATGAGGGGCCGGCATTGACACTAATGATCCAATAACAATGTACATTAGTAGACAAGTATGAAACACATCAAATAGCAATGAAATAGATAGATATAAGTAATATGATTCTCAAGTACGAATAATTGCGAAATTGTCAAATACCATAATCAACCACCCAGGGAAACAAGGACAACTAATATCACATACGATGTTAAATCTCACGTCAGTAAAACTCATATGTACACTGACTCCCTATCGTATATTACGCACAAGTCTGCCGAGGCGAATAACTCAATCCCATAAGAATAGTATTGCACAATACCATCGAGACAAATGGCCGGATCCCATAATGATACTTCATAACACTAGCGAGGCGAACGACTTGATCCCATAATAATATTTCATAACTTTTTTCGAGGCGAACGACCCAATCTCATAACGATATTTCACAACACTCCCGAGGCGAATGTCCCAATCCTATAGGAATAGGGACCACGAAGATACGTGCGAGTCGAGAAGAGATGAAACTACCGATCACATAACACAAACGAGTATAGGAATGCAAGAGAAAACTTGATTGTTACCGATAATCAAATATCCCATAAAGTTTCAAAGTAAAGAGGCTCGGTCAATACATAAATTCTAGTCTCAATCTCAGTTATAAATTTAAGTACTCAAACAAACAAGTTTAATTCAAGTAGTACAGTTCAGGCATGTGGCAGGTCTAAATTTACCCGAACATAAACATAAATCTAGCTACACACGCACTCTTGTCAACTCGTACTTACATAAAACTAGTAACACGTAGAACACATAATTAAAATACCTACGTGGATAATTTCCTCTTACAAGATTAGGCCAGACACTTACCTTGCTTCCAAGCCTACTACTCGGCTCCCACACCTTACTAGTCACCTCAAATTGACACAGAACAACCCGAAACTAGTCAAAGAACGTATAAACCAATGAATATATGCTAAAAAAATCACAATTTAACTGTTACAATCAATTTTCAACCCCATTCGGAAAGTCAACAAAAGTCAATTCCAGGCCCACATGCCCGGATTATGGAATTTTTAAAGATAAAAGTTACCCATGGAATTACAAACTCAGAAAAATAATTTACACCCAATACATAACCAATTTCTTGGTCAAATCTCATTTTTACCAAATGCTAGATTTTTCAACAAAATCCTAAAATTCTACTGATTTCCATGTTAAAATTCACACCTAATTCATATATTTAACTCATAATATGTAGAAATAACTTACCTTATAATACTTGATGAAAATCCCCCTTCAAAAAGATCCAAAATCGCCCAAGCCAAGAGAAAAATGGGTGAAATGAGCCTAGGTCCAATATTAAAAATTGCATTTTGCCTATGGGGGTTCTTTATCGTGACCGCTAAGGCTAAACTGCCCCTGCCATGAGATCCTTCATTGCGTTCACGATCCCATGTCTCGTTCACGATGCACATTGATCCCAACCCTATGCGTTTGTGGTCAACACAGCCGCATTTGCGAAGGCCTAACACCGGCCAACCCATCCGTCCTCTTCTTTCTTCGCGTTTGTGATAGGATCTCCGCGTTCGTGAAGACGATCTAGGTCCTCTGATTCGTTCGCGTGGCCTTATTTGAATTCACGAAGAGAAATCTTTTCCCCTCCAAAAATCCTTCTTCGCGAATGCGAAACATCCTTTGTGATCGCGCAACACACCACTACCAGCAAAATCTACCAACTTCTACATTGCTTTGGGTGGTCCGAAAGTCACTCGAGCTACTTGGGACCACGTACAGTTATACCAACAAGTCCATAAACATAAGCCTGACCTATTCAAAGTCTCGGAACCCATAAAATAACATTGAAATTAGGAATCACACCTCAAAATCAATTAATCAACTTCTAAACTTCAAACTTCTTCCAATGAACTTCGAACGTGACAACTTATTACTTAGACAACCCAGAATGACACTAAATTTTACGCACAAGTCCAGTACTACAAAAGTAACCTACTCCCATGATCGGAGTTCCAAACGAGATCTGATACCACCAAAGTCCACGTCAAGTAAAAATTCAATAACCTTCAAAATGCCAACTTCCGATAATAAGCAACGGAACGCTCCCCGTCACCCCAAAACTCTATCCCGAACATATGCCCAAGTCTAAAATCACCATACGAACCTATTGGAACCTTCAAATCCCCATTCCGACTTTATTTACTCAAAGTGTCGACTCAAGTCAAACTTGGCCACTATTATGAAACTAAATCCAAATTTAACTCGAACCCTTCCAAAACAAAATCAACCGTACCCGCAAGTCATAAAATAGGAAAAACATATACATGGAGTCTTAAATGGGTGAACGTGGATCTAGATAACAAAATGACTGGTCAGGTCGTTACATTCTCTACCTCTTACACAAAAATTCGCCCTTGAACGAGTTTAGAATCATACCTAAAGTGACAAATAAGTGTGGATATCTACTTTGTATTTCCTCCTCGTCCTCCCAAATTGCCTCCTCGACTGGATCACCCCTCCGCTAATCCTTCACAGCTGAATCTCCTTAGACCTTAACTCTCAAACATGCATCTCAACAATGGAAAGTAGCTCCTCCTCGTAACCCAAGCTCTTATACATCTGAACTATGCTGTAATCCAACACATGGGACCTGTCAGTAAGGTACTTCCGGATTATATAGACACGTGGAATACCAGATGAAATCTCAATAGGCTAAAATGCAAAGCAAGCTTGTATAAAACCTCAACAACTCGCTCTGAAACCTCGAATGGACTGATGAACCTCAGACTCAACTTGCCCTTCCTTCCGAACCTCATGATACCCTTTATCGGTGAGACTTTCAAAAGTACCTTCTCGCCCCACCATAAATGACGAATCGCACACTTTCTAATCCATGTAACTCTTCTGCCTGGATGTGTTGTGCTGTGAGATGTCGCTTCTGAATCAACTTTACCTTATCCAAGGCATCCTTTACCAAATCAGTACCTTATAACGTAGCCTCGCTGGCCTCAAACCAAGAGTTAGGTAAACAATATTGTCGGCCATATAAGGCCTCAAATGAGACCATCTCTATACTGGACTGATAGCTAAGATTATAAGCAAACTCGACCAACACTAAGAATCGATCCCACTACCCTCCGAAGTCAATCACACATGCTCTTAGCATTTC